TCTGTCTCCACTTGCATATTCGTGTAACACAACAAATCTCATGTGATTTCGCTCCGGACTTATAATGGTTTCCGTTTCTAGTATATAAATAAATAAATAAATAAATAAAATTATGAATAAAAAACCTAGAATATCAAAAGAACAAACATTTGTTTTTATTTATAATAAATACATTTTAAGAATATAAAACAGATATGAAGAAGAAAATGTTCTATTAATAATATTTATAAAACTACGTATTATTAACATCCGTAATATGACCTTTAGATGTATGTATTAATAGACTATTTAAAAATAGATTAAAGAATAAATGATGCTTATGAATAACTTGTGATAAATTTCAATTAACTGAAAAAAGAAATTTAAAAAATTATTATAGTTTAATTTATCAGATGTTTGGAATGATATTCCTACAGAAATAATTATCAAAAATGTGAAATTTTAAATGAATTAGATGAAACTAAAGATGATTTTATATATAGTTCAGATAAAAAAAACAATGAAATAGATAGTAATAAAGATTCAATTGAAATAGTTAATGAAAATAGTTTATCTGCTAATAAATTAGAAAATTAATATCGAATATAATAAATTTTATAATAAAATTTTATAAATAAATTTATTATATTTAGTAATATTAAAAGAAGGGTTGCTTATTTTATTTTTAGCTTTCTTATTTTTTAAAAGATATTGCTTATTTTCAGAACTTTACGGTATACTTTTTTTTACTAACAATTCTAACCATGAATCCTAACCTACGTAACCCCCAAAAAATACACAAAATTTTTTTGAAATTTCATATCAAGATAAAGTTAATTCTCAGTATCAACTGATCTTGACTTTAACCGTGACGAATATTACTACCTGGGTGGCCTCTTTGTGAATGATCTTCACCTGGGTGACTTATTGTCAACTCGCCAGATGACCCGTGTAAAGGTTTTTTAGATAGGTCAATCACTACCAATGTAATTATGTAATTTTAAGTCACATAAAAATATTTTGTTTGATTAATTTGGTTTGTTTAATTATATTAGACCAATTTAAGCCAATTTTTTTAGCAGTTTATATCGATATAAACTAGTTTAATTTTGTTGTCTAGTTTAACTGCATCAAGGTTTAATCAAGCCAAGCCAAACCAAACCAACTCCCCCATACTTGACAGGCAAATGTTTTAAAGCGCAATCTTAAACATCATAATTGTTTGATTTTTATTTGTTTTAAATATATTGAAAAAAAATTATGTTCCGTGAAAAACCTTTTAAAGAAATTTAGTTTAGCTTCATTTGGTAGCAGAGATGAAAATTTGAAACAATTATTAGTGATTTTCTCATATACGTTTCATAATTCTTCATAATTTTTTGCGTGAAAAATTTATAATAAAGACGATGCGTCTTTTTTACTGTAAAGTTGACTTGACCTAAGAAATACAGATATGTTACGGCCGATTCTAGTTTAATTGAAGTTGAAATAGCTGAAAGGTTAATAATTTAAAAACTCACATAAATAGTTGACGTTATAAGTTTTTGCTTTCAGTGGAACTTTAAATATCATTTTGACCCGAGAACTAATTTATTAACGTTAATTTATACGTACGTATTTCGATTTAATGTTAATGGAAAGATCACCCTGATCATTTTAACGCATACGTAGTATATACAAATTCTGTACGTAATATCATCATGACCTTAATCCGTCGATCAATAAAAAAATATATCGTATTTCGAATTTTGGCCCGGATTAAGCACAGTTTAGGGCAAATTTTATAATTTCACCCCTGGGAATTCAGGAATACCGTTATCGTTATGATTTAAAATGTTTAGTATAATTATGGTAATTACATACAAATTGATCGTCCATCGTGATCTATGATAAAATAGATTATAAAAAAATTTCAGAACTGTTCATTACTGTTTTATAAAATACAAATGGCGACTCACGTACGAAGAAAAGCTATTAGCATAGATAAAAACGAAAAAAAACGTGAGCAAGAAGCTAACAGCCCTGAGGTTATTACACCTATTCCTGTTAGACCTGCTATATCTCAATTAATTACTGTTCGGCCAAGAGCTTCAACTCGTAATGTCCGTAGTTTTGCAAAAGTAAAAAAACTTAGATTTGACAATCCTGACAATATTTCACCTAATGAAGATAACTGTCATTCCGTAGTCAAGAACTGTTCTCCTGTATTCAATAACAGTCAGCACGTAGAAAAAAGCAATATCAATCTTCCAAATATTGATAGAAATACTCTTGTCACCCACTTGGATACAGAGGATTCGATTGCAAAGTTCAATGAAACAAGTTCCGCTCGAGAAATAACTCGAGTAACATTAACAAGCTTTGTTAAAGTTGGTGGAAGCAAAGAATTATCGTTGAATACACCTATTATACAAAATAACAATCCTCAGGCAACACATGATATTATTACACATGATGCTACACATGATACTGCACATGATACAACTGATAACAACAGCTCCAAAATCACGGATAACATCACGGTTACCAAAAACAATGATTACAATGCCACAATCAAAAATAATGACGACTCCGCATTGAATATAAATGAGACCAAAGATAAAAGTAAAAAATCAAAGAATAAACATGATACACAAAATAAAGAGAAGAATGAAAGTGAATCTTCATTAAATGTCAAAAATGATAAAAAACAATTTCCTTGTCCAGTGTGCAAACGAAGTTTCTCTCGCAAATTCAACATGCAATCCCATCTCAAGACACATGATACTGATCGTGTAAAACCATATGCATGTACTTACGAGTCATGCAATCTTCGTTTCACAAGAAAACATGATCTCAAACGTCATATTAACGGTATTCATAACGAACAAAAGGAATTTTTATGTCCTCATTGTAATAAAAATTTTTCTAGAAAGGATGCGTGGAAAAGGCATGAATTGACTTGTAGTTCCGAAGAAACAAAAGATGTTGGAAAAAGGAAGCATATTACAAAACCGTTACCTCAATTGTTACCTACTCCATTCACTAACCAATTGGATCATCCTCCATCTATAATTAAACGTAGAGGACGTCCAAGAAAATTAGTAATTAATAATGATACTGATTTAATTGATACTATAAAAGATGTTACAACTGAGTTTAAAGTTGGAAAAAAGAGAAGACCAAGAAAAATACCTAAAATTGAAACCACATCGATTGAATCTACGGAAGAAACTAAAGTCGAAAAAAGTGCAGATCTTATGGATGGAGTTATTTCTAGTCATACAAGTGAACTTACAGAAACTCGATCAACAGAGATGTCAGTTGATAATCAATTAATAAAATCTAATTCTGCATCTACCGCTGATGTATCGTCTATCAGTCATCCTAATAGTATGATCACAGAAGTTAGAAAAGACACAAATGATTCGATTGATTCTTTTAACAAAGAAAGCGATTTGATTTCTTTTAAGTACCATGATACTTCTTCGACCATTTCTTCTATTAACGAAGTAGACTACGCAATGTCCGAAGAAATGACTGAAGAAGCATTCGGCGAATTGTACGAAGAAACTTTTGGAGAAAAGACAAAAGTATTGAAGGAAGGATATTAAATGTATTTAGGTAATCCTTGTGAAATTAAATTTACAAATAGTTTATTTGTAATACTTATAATGCTTATCATACTTGCCATGCTTGTAATATTTGTAATAGGTTTTATTTTTTTTCAGATACAAAAATTTTGGATTTTTTATATAAATTTTGTAGAGCGATTTTGAAAAAAAATACACATTCTTTAAGCCTTTGTCCATGACCAACTTTTACTTTATTTAAATTTTTTTTTTGTTGCTTTTGTTAGTTTGAGATATTTTGGCACATCTCATCTTTAGAATGATAATATAAATTCTTTTAAAGAATCATAAAGACGAGTTTAATTAGGTATAAACAATTTTTTTGCAGCATTGCGATAAATTTCAAAGTTCGATATAAATAAATTTTACGTCTCGTAAAGACCTTATTGCATCATATTTTGATTCAAAGAACAAATCTTATAAATAAGAGCAGGACAAACCAGGGGCTATAAGAACAATTACCATCACGTGCGTCATGTACTCGAATAATAACAGTTTTACACAATACATTAAACAATAACTTTTAACTTGAGTGATACATTCACTCATATAGAAAGCTTATAAGAAAGTAAACAATTAGATTGACTATACCTAAATAGGTGTTTTCTCCTAAATATTGAATAATAACATTTAGCATATTAATAAATTCAAAGGTTTAAAATTTTTTGAAGCGTGAAAGTCATAATTATTAATATATACCGGGAGTTCTTTACTTTGTATTCGAAAATAACGTTCAAGAAGTCCAAGATCATATAATTGGTTTCGCAGTAGGATATTGATGACAGTACCTGAAGATCCATACCCTCCACAACAGCAAATTCTATAGAATTGCAAGCATTAACGCATTTAAACTGTGTAAATAAAATATTAAAATTGTAAACTTACCGATCATGATAATCTTCTTTCTTGTATGGTAAATCAAAATGAATACTATATTTGACTGGTTTAAATGAAAGCACCGCCGCAAAGCTATCCGTTGTGACAACAATCGCCGGATTTGATGATTGCCAAAATGTTTTAACAATTTCATGTCGTTCAGATTGGTTTGTCATAGAATGCTGGTATATACTTTATTTTGTAAGTAACTTTTTTTTTTTTTTTTGGCTTTAAACATTTTTAGCTGGATAAACAGTACCTTTAAACTTACCAATGGGAACACTTCAATATTTTCAAATAATGTGGATAATTTATCAGCTAACCAGTCGACCCTTTCTCCATTGTCACAAAAGATAATTGACTTTCCCATATCCGATGTTTTGTAAAGTTCACAAAGAGAGTTTAATTTCAACTCTTCTTTTTCTACAAGTGTATAAAACAATTCTAATCCTTCGCTCATGTGCACATCAGTGAGAATGATATTGGCACTGGGTGTTAATACACGTTTAATGTCGGCAAGAGTGAAGGTTGTGGCCGTAGTCATGAAAACTCTCTGTGCTCTATTTGGTGATCTATGGATAATATCCAAAGCCTGCGTACGAAACGTACTATTAAACATAATACATGAATCTTCAACAACAATCATTTTAACGTCACTGATATCAAATCCCCTTCTTTCTGTCATTAAATCGATTAAACGACCTTCCTTGAGTTGAATCACGTGCGGAATAAAACGAATTAATTAAGTCCTGTAAACCGTTCAATATACTTGAAACGTCATATTGGTAACAAACCTGGTGTTCCGATGATTATTTGTTGACCCACACTTTTCAATTTTTCGACATCTTGTCTCACAGGATAACCGCCGACACAAACGGACCACGAAATTTGACGGTGCTTGGCCATTACTTCAATAAGATCTTGAATGGCAAAGCATAGATCTTTAGAATGTACAAGCACAATTCCTTGGCAAGATTTAATACGTGGGTCTACATGCTGAAGCAGACCGATCAAATATGTTAAAGTTCTTTCTTCGGAACGAGGCACCTGAATAATGACGTCACGACGTGTTAAGATCGCTTTGATCGCGCGTTTCTGGATAGAAGTTGGTTGATCATACCTGACATTACCAAAATGGGTAATGGATAAATTGATCTGTACTCGTATTTTAATAATAGATTAAATTTTCAAAACATACCCCAATGCGCGAATTCCTCGTAGTAATTCGGGCCTCAATTTCATTTCCTCAAAAGTGGGTACTGATAAATTGTAATTATCTTGTAAAGTCTCACGTGGATAAACATTTCCATGTTTCCTATCGATTCTTTCCTTACTGCCACTTCTATAAATTGTTCTATTTATCTAAAAAAAAGTGCACGGTAAAATCGGCACTAAAAATTGATATTACATAAAGATCCAAAAAAAACTTACTTTATTTCGCGCTGGCGCTTTTGGTGGAGGCTGTGTCGCCCCTTCCCGAATAAGCGCGTGGCCCTGCTCTTGTATTTTTTTGGGTTGGATCTCCTGTGCAGATTTTTGTTCAATTTCAGCCTCATTAGATGAGGATTCTCCTTGGCTCTGACTAGCAACCTGCTTCTTCCTCGCTCTTCTAGATTTTTTTCTCTCAGCGACGGACATTTTTTTTTTACTTTTATCACCTGATTCATTATGAGATTCATTACCGACAATCTTTATATTACTAGTGTCTCTTTCAGAAAGCTGTTTGATATTTGATAAATCATCAATAGGTTCGCTAACTGATCCTGTCGTTTCTACCATAGGAGAGTGTGTTGGTGACATAGGAAAATCCGAAACCCCATTAATTACGATTTTTGGTGTGAGTCTTTCTTTCCCTTCGGGAGGCACAAGAGTTGAAATAGCTTCTGTTAACTTTGCTATCTGAACTTGTATATCAGGTAAAACGGCCAACGAAGACTGAATATCTTGGATAGCTTTTAATAAGTCTGGGGCTTCCGTCATATTTTATTTTTGATTATTAATAATAAATTTTTTTTTTTTGGACTTTATATGAAAACAGAAGAGAAAATATAGATTATTAATTTTTAAGAATTATATAAAAGTGTACAACATATTTATATATTTTATTCAATTATATCTTGTGACTACTGATATGACGCCTCTATAAAAGCTTCTTTAAACAATGACATAACCATGACGCGATGACTGCATTTATACTCTGATACTATGGTGATAATACCTTCATTTATCAACGCTCTCATTACTTTCTCTAATAGAAAGCGCCGGAGTTGCGTACAGTTTGTAATAATGTGGCGCATTGCACTAATAACACATTCCGTTTATCACATGACCTCTGTTTTTGGATTACTATAATACTCTACGTATTATCGTTATTGTTATCTTTTTCGATCAATTAGATTTGTTGTTTAAAGATGCATATCATATAGTGTACGAGAAAGTCTTGATTATATTTACTTATCTTTAGTTTAACGACGTATATTGCTTTAACACATTAATATAAAAAAGACTTCAAATACCAGTTTTTATTTTAATTGACCAATTGTTAGTACGTAGTTGTATAGTATATACAATATTAATTATATATATATATATATTTTTGGTGTTAAGGTGAATATTAATTATATATACTACAGCATATTTTCAATATTAAAATAGAAATATATTATTTTTTAAGATTTTGATTACAACTATATAATCAATTTAAATCATACTGTATATAGTAAAATTTTATTAAATATATATATATAGTCGTACTCTATAATTACTTAGTTTGTTTTATGCAAAAAACGTGATTTTAAAAATTCTATTTTAATGTGCTTATATAGAAGCTTTTTTTATAAGTTTATTAATAATTTTTTTAAAATTTAAGGCGATTATATAGAATTTGTAATTATATAGAAGGCTGTAGCACATATAAACTAGATTATATAAAATATTATTTACTATATTAAATAGAATTATTTTTGCAATTTTTAAGATTTTTTTATTTAATTTTTAAATATTTATTTAATAAAAAAAGTTGTTATAAGTAATAAAAGTTAATTGTATAGTAAAAAAATTAAAAAATAATTCTACTTAATCTTTTAATTAATAACATTAAAAAACTATATTATAAAAAATGTTATATCAAAATATAAAAAATATTATTTCTTTAACTAGAAGCAAAATTGAAAGATTTTAGCTTCTATAACCTAATAAGAAGCCTGTAATTGAATGTAAAGTTCTGTGGTTAAGTCCAAGTACAGTACAATAATGGAAGTAGAAATTCCCAAAAGGAGATCCAATTATGAAGTAAAGGTATTATATATAACAAGTGGTTGTTACAGAAGGTTACAGTTATAGAAAGATTGCACATATAAGTTCTTTAGGCTAAAGCAGCATCAACATTCTTATACCTTCTAATATAGACAGTACCAATATCTTTGCATCTAACTTGTAAGATACTTACTTAGAAAGATAATCAATAGATTATGCAAATAAGTCTTAATTGAGATCTAAGAAGAGAATTTGATTGGAAAAATAGTTTAAAAGTAATCAAGACTAGAATAATAAGAGAAACAGTAAACATAAAAATGGACTATAATAAAGAATTAATTTAATCAAAAATTAGAAACATTTTTGACACAATTGAATAATCTAATTATAGAAGAAAAAATCTTGAAGGTTGGTATATAACTTCCTTGTACAATGTAAAAGTACCAAATTGGGTTCTAATTGTATCTATATGAAAGTCTATAATGAACAAGATTAGAAATCAACCAATCAATATAAGATAAAATCTGCAAAGTAGTATGGCATTACTAGGATTGATATAACTTTCTGGGTATAATCAGAATTGTCTTGCAAATATTGTTGAATATGTTAAGAGCTTGCAATATATGGTAATATAGTATCACTAGAGTCAGAAAAACTCCTTAGATATAACTAAAATTGTTCTGTTTGTAAGTGCAACAAGTCTCAATCTCTATTATAAAAGAAAGCACCATGTTGAAAATTAAATATAGAATTTATTGTATAATATTAAGACCTAGAGCATCTGCAGAAATAGCAGCAACAGATCTGGCTTGAGATACAGATTGGTTAAAAAGACCAATAGCAGTAGCAAATTTGGCTTAAGATATGGGTTTATTGTAGATTCTAAACTATTGTCAGAACACCTTAGAGAAATTAATAATAGGTATACCAAAAATAGAAAGATTATAAAAATTAAACATACCTGAGTAAGACCAATTTGAAAGTAATATAGTGACAAAAAGATAAGAAAAGTAAGAAACAAGATAATATTAAATATAGTTAAATTAAAAGGCAAAAGAAACAAGATTAGGTATAATATGTAAGTAGGACATATAGGTATAATTTACAGAAGACAGTACCTCTGGTATTTAGGATGCTACATTAAGTTCAGTAAGTATTCTTGTCTGTATAGCAGTTTAAGGTATGCTCTAACTACAACTGGTTATTAAAGTAACTGTGTGCAAGCATGTGGCAGACATGTACTTAGATGCCAAAGGAGTAACCAAGTGAAGTTAGTAATATAAATTTAGATAGTATATATAGTACCAGTAATAATTAATTCTAAAATGTAATCATAAATTTGTACTATATCAAATTAAAGCTAATAAACTAACTGGCATTGTCATCAAAATAAAATAAAAAATATTATTTCTAATTCTATACAAAATAAATTATTTGTTAATAAAATTAAGAATATGTTAACACTAAAATATAAACCAGAATTTTTAATAAGTTGTATTTTAGATCAATACTTTCTGATTCTTTTTTCAAAAACTTGTTTATTTTTTGTATAATATTAGATGTTTTTGTGATTCTTTGATTTTGCTTTGACAGACTTAGTATTTTGTAGTTGTATATATATCTAACCTTTTTTTGTTAAATTTTTCAAGATTAGGAGTTTGTCTAATATATATTTTATAAAATCACTTCTTCTTGTGTTGTCTCTTCTTGTTATACAATATACTTTTTTGATTAACTTTAGTTTTTTTTAAAAGTATATTTAATTATAGATTATTACTTTTGTTATCAGTTTTAAATTCTTAATTGCTATTATTTCTTTTTATTCTGCTTCTAGTTTGGCATTTGTTACTAGTATTATAGAATGAATTATTATTATCATTAGTATTATTAGTATTTTATTATTACTATTATTATTTAATATTAGTTATTTAATCATTATATTTATTAGTAATTGCTAAAACTTTTCAGTCAATTAGTAATCACTTAGTTGCTTAGTTGCTTAGTTGCTTAGTTACTTAGTTGCTTAGTTACTTAGTCATTTAGTAATTAGTTGCTTAATAATTATTAGTCATTAGTTGCTAGAACCTTTTAATCACTTAGTAATCAATTATTCACTTAGTCACTTAGTTACTTAACACTTAGTCACTTAGTTACTTAATACTTAGTTACTTAGTCACTTAATTATTTAGTTACTTGGCTACTTAACTGCTTAGCTTACAGATATATAAACCCTGCTAAATTCCTCAAATGTAATTAAGCAACAAATATCTCTTTTTTCTCTTAATATTATAAACATATTTTGAGATTTTTTAAAAACAGAAACCTAAGAATAGCTCTTTTTGTTATTATTTTAATAAACAGCTTTTGACTATAAACTGTATTGATACTTCTTCTTTAGAGTAATGCTTACAAGCAAGGTTTATTTCCTTTTAGTAAAATAAAGTATTATTATTAGTATTGTATTACTTTTCTTGAACTGTCTTAAAGAAGAATATAGTTTCTTAACAATGTCTAACAGAAGCTATACTTCTCTTTTGAACACTGCATATACCTGTAAAGAATTCCTTATGCTGTATTATTGTTATAGTGTAAAAATTATAAAGGCTTTCACCTATAACATTTGGTAACTTCTGGTAAAATAAATAAATTTTTAAAGAAAACAAGTCATCCCAAACAAGACATTCTCAAACATATTAGAAAAGTTATTCTAGCAAAAGCCCCAAACGAGTATTAGTTATCTTGGCAAAAGACTAAGATGAGTATTAGTTATCCTAACAAAAGATTCAGACAAATATTAGTTATTCTAAAAGAGATCCAAACAAGTATTAGTTATTTTAGCAAGAGATCCAGACAAGTATTAGTTATTCTGACAAGAGATTCAAATGAGTATTAGTTATCCTAACAGAGTTTTAAACATGGATACACCTCTTCTTTTATGGTTTATACTACTGCTAAACTTTATAATAAAAATATTCAAAGTCATCAACAAGTACATCTAACTGGATCTTACCTTGCAGTAGACATACTTTAAGTATAGCATTTAGATTTATCTTGTTTTTAGTATTACTTCTTTCAACACACTAGCTCTTGCTCAGATTTTAAACAATTTTGAACCTGGTACCAAACTAACTTTGCAGCTTAACATTATTTCTTTTAAACTCAGAACAACTTTATCATCTTTACTACCTTATATCCAAACTGAATTACAATTCATCTTTGTATTAAAGATATTATTTTTAGTTGTTAATACCAACAAGACATTGGTGAATCTAGAACAATTGCTCTAACCTTAGTTAGAAAATATACCAAGCTCTTTCAACTTCCTACTTTATCTTTGAATACCAAAATGCTTTTGATCTTCATCTCAATGCTCTTCTAAGTTTTAGTTTTAAAGAACCAAGTAAATTTAGTCAACATCTTGAAAATTTAAGAAGTTCTATTTTATCACCTACTACTGATATTACTTTACCAATAATATTTCCTTCTTACACAATTCAGAAGATAGCTTAGCTTCTTATAGTGAATTAATTATACCTACTAAGCTTTTTGAAAGTCATTGCACTCCTGATTGGACTTTACAAATTCTTTTATTACTTACTGATAATTTAGAAACAGAAGAATATATTACTGCTTTTGTAAACCTTACAGAAACCTTTAGCTCATGCTACACTTCTACCAACTTATTATAACAAATATTAGAAGATAGTTCTTTTCTTTTACCTTCA